TATTTACTAGCCACCTCCAGATCAAGCTTTTCCCTCTTAATCACAGAGCAGTTTTCCTTGTGGGTAGTTGTCCACTGCTCTTGGAGATAAAAAAAAAAAAATGCTGTAACTTGGTGTTAACTTTCTTGAGAGGTATAGTGACTTCATAGATAAGTATGAGATGAGTCGCAGCCTGGGGCAACGCTTGCAGGATGTTTCCCATGAGAAGCAAGCTTTTGTTTTTCCAATTTATCTTAATCAAATATTGCATGACATGTTTCCCCCCTGTGGAAGGGCTGAGTCTTGAACCCAGTATGAAAAGCAGTGTATCCATGGAGGAAAACAGATTTTTAGTGCATTAAGTTCGGCAGTGATTTCAGTGTAATATTTTTCTTGCTGGCAGACATATCACTTTTCTTTGTGAAATGTTTCTAAGTTAGAGCCGGTCTAAAATTATATCTTCCCCCAAAATAAAAGGTTAAAATTAGATGTAGTTGTTCTTGTGCTCATAACACTTCAGCAGGATGGTTGTTCTGTGAAGGGGCATGTGAGAAACCAGCACTTCATATGGAGTTTGTTCATAGCTTTAGTTGTGTTTGCAGTCTAGGTGCACAAAATGATTAATAATGTGAAATACGATTCATTTTTAATTGGATATTCAGTCATTTTCCCTTACGATAAAGGCATTTCTGTTGTAAGAATGATACATATCAGCATGGTTTTTAAGGATTTTAACTTCTTGGTGGTTTTTTTTGTTTTTTACAAAGCCTGCTGGCTTTGCTTGCACTGATAAATTTACAAGCATAATTTATAGATTAAAAAGATTATACTGTCTAAAAACTTAATAAATTTAATTACTTCAGCATTTAAAGTAACTTATTTCTGAGGATTAGCAGTGTCTATTCTAATGGGTGCCTTCAATCACTGAACTAGAACTTCTCTGAAGGCCTGTGAGTTTGAGTTCGAGGTTACCTTCTATGAGACGTTAGGGTTGTGTAGATAGGGATTTCCAACTCCCCTAAATTACTATTGCTAAAAAAAATAGATTTATGTTGATCTTAATGACCAGATCTTGTCTTGTTTGATTTGTAAATTGTACAGATACTTCTAACAAATCTCATTCCAGCCTAACCACAGGCTCCTTCTGGTCGTCCGTAGTGGCAAGCAAATGTTTCTTACCCGAGTCAGCAGAATGTTTCTCAATTTCTTCTCTGTTAGCCCTTGTTAGTGCCTCCTGCAATTTAAAAAAAAAAAAAAAAAAAAAAAAAAAAGAGGGAAAGACCGTTGGTGTTCAGGATCTTACATGCCTTGAATTTCAGCGACTCTTCCTGGTTTGGCAAGCAGCACGTCTACTAAATTGCCTGGGTTTAGTATTTGTTGTCTGGTATGACAGGGTTTGAAATAGTTTTGCAAATGCCCTTTTCAAACGTAGAGCTGCAGTCGGAGTCAGAGGGGATATCTTAGAGGTTTTCCTAGAGTGTTGAAATAAACTGAGCTATTGCAGAGAGGCGAAACGCTCTTGAGTATTTACTGCAGACCCACACAGAGGAGGAGGACGAGAGGGTGGAGGAGGAGGTATTTGTGAAGAGGATTAAAAAAATTGTATGAGAATTAATCCTTCTGGCACAGGAAGGAATATAGAGAAAACATCCGAGTGTATATTGAATGTCATTTTTCCAAAGGTGGCACCTAAAGCCCGTTTGAAGCTGGTTCCCTGTCCCGTTCAGAGTTAAACCATCACTATTGCTAAATATAAAGCCAAATGGCACCTCTCTTATGAAACCTTCAGTGACCCTCCCACACTCCATCCCCCCCCCCTCATTGCAACCATGGTCCTGTTTAGCCAACTATTGTTTGGAGGTGCTTGGTAACCAGGGCTTTGTGAAAGTCTAATGCTCTATGTAAGCTTTCAGAGCTGAGCTAGAACAAAAGCAGATGTCGGAGATGTTGCACGCAGGCTGCCAAGCTGTGAGACGTTGTCCGTTTGACTAGCAGGACAGCTGGGCGCTGCTGCCAGAGGAGGACACGGGATTGTTCTGCTTTCCTTTGGCTGGCTCTGAGTTCCAGTACTCCACACTTCATCACTCTAAATGAACCGTTTATGCTTTATTTCTTATTCCAGTTAAAATGTGGCTTCTGTGGGTTCCATAACTCCCAACTTTTTTTCCATTATAGAATTGTTTACATTGCAGTGGAAGAATTATGTTCAGTTGGCGTAGTCTTCAGGTGGCTCGTTGGCCTCTTACAGCTGCTTTGTGAAATGCCTTTTTTTTTTTTTTTTTTCCATTGGCTACTTGTAAAATTTTTCCTTTTGCAGACATTTGTTGAGACTGGGAGAGCTCCCTTAACAGGAGGCAATGTTTTGAGACCATTAAGCCATTTCAAGGATGGCAGCTCTGTTGAGAGAAGCAGCTTATGGCAAGAAGCTTGTGCAGCAGTCTCCAGTTAGGCTTTTTGTCATTGCTTGCTCTCCTGAGGTCGTACGATCCTCTTTACGCACCCTGTGTGCAGTTTGAGAAGAAATGCCGGTAACGCCATCACTGAAACCTTGCGAGGGGGTTGGGGGCCTTGCTATAGTAGCAATTAAATTTATCTCTTACCATTATAAAACTGAAACTAACAGTCTCCCGCCGCAGCTGGCTGTAGTTATAATGTAGTGTGGTTTGCCTTCCAAATTTTGTGGAACTGAAAACCCTACTTCTTGATTCTCCGTATCTCACTGCCTTGGCAGCAACCTTACCCTTAACTCTCAAGGGAACATAGGAAATAGTCATTTGCAACTCAAGTACAGGGGAGGGGGGTGTTGGGATTTCCTCCATGCAAATTTGCTATTCAAGAGAATTTTATTGCAAATTTCTGCAGGTGAAAACCATTAATTTAAGGAAGATGGCTTGAGACCTTTTTTTTTGTCCCAAGGTAGCTGTTGGACTGGGGAGGGGCAAGCAGGGGATGGCATTAAATTCCCTATGTTTCAGAGTATGGCGGAGAAAGAAGTTCCCAGATTTGCCATAAATGTATTTTACAATTTTAGCAAACTTTCAGCTCTCTCTTTGCATCTGTCCTCAATGAGTAAAATAGAGATACGTTATTTGTTTAGCTGTGAAGCTGCTGGCAACAGGAATGATCTTGCTACAAGTACCAAAAAGGAGTTAACTGTCGTTGGAGCCTGTAGATACGCCACTGGTGTATGTTACTGGTTCATTCATCCATTCTTTGTTCTCCCTTCCATATCAAAATCACTCTGGTGTATCAATTTCTGCATCCCCTCTTTTTTTCAGTTTTACTTCTTGTGAGAGACACTGCCTCATCTCAGCAGGCTACATCTATGTATTCCTATCATCCAAGTTATGCCAAAGCATTTTGAGTTAGTCTCCTGTAAAGTAACAAGGAATAAATAAAAGAATTTGCTTGGTATCAGAGCAGCTTGTCTCTTACCAATTGTATGCCAGGAGAATTTGTTTTGAATTGTTTGCGTATGACAAAAGTAGTCTCAGCTGTCATACAGCAAAATATAACTTATTTTTTCAACATTCTATTTTTCACTGCCACTAAAAAATTAATGTAATTGCATAAGCCCAGTGCTCTGGTCTCTTCAGTGGGACCCTGAAATGTTGAGTGAACCCAACTAAAATCTTTTAAAAAAAAAAAAAAAAAAAAAAAAAAAAAAAAGCTTCACCTCTTGTGTGAGACCTGCTGTGGAATTTCACCCTTTAATGTGCAAATGAAGCCTGCAGGGTCCTCTGAATATTTCTGCGGCTCCTGCATTTCAAAGTGAGCTTTGGAAGCCTTGTGCAGGGGAACAGCAGTGCTGAGGTCTATCACACTTTCCGTCATTCTTCTGTAATAAATTTAGCTTTAATTTGGGTGGGGGCTATCAGGCTCCCTTAGTGGTCTCATAAAACATGACTCATTTAGAGGAAAAAAAACGTAGAAGAAAATTGTTGACAATGTTTCCCAACAAGACGTCAAAACCCATCAAATAATTAATAGCAGAAGTTAAGGTTTGTGTAATCTGTTCTGTACCTAAAGAAAGCCTTAAAATTTATTTAAATCTGCGACTTTATGAAAAAAACCTTAGTTTAACTCTTTTTTTTTTTTTTTTTTTTTTTCCCCCCCTGCTTCTTCCCCAGACAATGTGTTTCCCTGACCTTTTGCAAAGTGACTTCTTTTTTAGCTAAAGTCTAGTGTTCAGGCCATAGACTATTTGCATTGCTTCTCACTCCTTTTGTATTAAAATAATGGCGATTCTTTCAGGTTTTTAGGTATGTAGCAGTTAAATTTTTTGATAGACTTTATGCTCGTTTGGAGCTCTGTCCAAAACAATCTTTTAATGTAAGATGGAGACTAGAATTAAGTCAATTATATGGCATTTAAATAACATTTAAGTTTTGAATTGTATTTCAAACCATTTTTAACAAACAGCAGTAAGGTTACTTTCTTGTATATGCAGAAAAACTGACACAAAAATTAAGTACGTACTTTGGGGAGAAAGATCCAGAAGTTTAAGAAGGTCCACTGTAAGATGTTATGAAGTCCTAGTCATTGAAAAATAAGCTAAAATTTAAATGTATCCATCCTCTAAAAGCAACAGCAGGGAAAACACCTGCTCTAATAAAGCTGTAGGCCATAAATAAGAGAATATTTTAAAGTTTTGAAAATTTGCCTGGGTTTTAAGAAATAAGGATTCTTATTTCTCCTTGGCAACCTCAGACTACTGTACAGTGGTATGGCAGATGCTGAAAGGCTCCTTAACATTTTTAGCAGATCACAAGAAGGTTTGGTTTTGGTTTTTTTTTTTGAAAGACCATTACTAGATCAATATTGCACTTTAGATGGAAAAAAACCAACAAACAACAAAACCAACCCACAACGTTTTACATATATAAGATTATTAATGGCCGAAGTGAGAAACACTAAGTTTTAGCCTAAACTCCTTGCATCAGGGACAAATGGGGTGTTTTAATGTTGCATTTATGTTATTTATAATAAAAATTATTTGAAATTGACTTGTGTTTTTTCAGGGTCCACACATAGCATCAGTTACCCTTGCTGCATATGAATGTAATTCAGTTAATTTTCCTGAGCCTCCTTACCCGGATCAAATTATGTGCCCTGATGAGGAGACGACTGAAGGATCCATCTCTTTGTGGGCTATCATCTCAAAAGTCAGGCTGGAGGCCTGCATGTGGGTAAGGTTTGGTTTATCACACTTAAGCAAGTTTAATTTATGTACTTAATTTCTGCGTCCAGCAATACACAAAAATTCCAGAATTAGCAAAACAGTGATGGCTTACAGTTTGCCAGCAGTGACATGTGTATTTGTAGTGTAAATAGATGGCATTTCTGATCAACCTTCTAGCCCTGGATGGTTTTAATGACCTTTAAAAAGAAGCAACAGGACATGACTGGGCTATCTTTTATCAGCTGCAGCGTTGACTACTTTTCTAGATTCCAGCAGTAACTATTCACGTACTTCAAAGCTGTTGATGTAAAAGGTAAGTTTTGGAAAGGGTGTCTGCATCCCAAAATGATCTTGCAGCTCTCAGATCTTAACACTGCATGCAATAAATAATTGCAGAAATTTTGAGCCTGTAACTTGAGTGAAGTTGCAGTTACTCCTATGAAGGACTCAGGCCCTAGTATCATAGCTGAAATGTTTTTCTGGGTTGCATCAATAGATTGGATTAAATAAGAGAGTGTTACGTTGCACATTTTAATGTGTTTTATTTCTCTTTCTCTGCCTGTTTCCATTATGGCAAACTTTTCACTCAAAACAAGAAAAGCAAGTTAGCTTTTAAGTGAATCGGTGTCTTAGGAAACGCTGTCATTGGAACTTCCTTTCCATTTTCCTTTTTTTTTTTTTTTTTTTTCTTTTTCCTCCCCCTTCTGCAGCTTTTTATGGAAGTTTGATTTTTGCAGGATTTTGTTCAGCTCAGATGTTTTTTTCATTACGTGTAGATTATTTTGAATTGCAGTTTACACAGATGCATCTGCTATGAACTGCATGCCAAATTAACTTTATTTTACTGCTGGCTTCCTGTTTTAGCTGACGATTTCATTATTAAATTCTTGGTTGTCCAATTTAATGGAGAGAGAGAGAGCAAATTCTGAAAATACATGGTATCTGATGTTTACCCTCTTATATCTTTTTGGATCATTAGAAGGAATATTAAGGCAACTGGTCACTACAACTCTTAATTATCAGGGGCTGTGTTGCTTACAGAAATTCCAGTTAGGTTGTATGCATTACAGACTAATGTGTAGCAGTACCAAAGTTAAAATAGTACCAGAGAAAATGGACTTAGAGCCTTCTCAAGAAGCAAAGTACATCTTAAATTTCATTCTTTCTAAGGACAGAATTGCCTGAATGCTTGATAAGTAGCTAAACATAAAAATACTTTATAAGACTAAAAATATAAGATTTCTTTTTATTTTGTTCGTCGTTGCCCTCTGCTTAAGTTTGTTTAACGGAAACCAGAGTCATAAAAATGGCATTTACAATTACGTTTCTAGGGCTGCAAAATAAAAATGTAGCTTGGGGTAAACATCCATTGCTTAATCTTCAGCATGAAAATAATTGAGCTATGATGAGAATTAAGTAGTTTAGAAATGAGTTAATAGAGCTGCAAGCATTGAAATCTTGTATCCTTCTGAGCAGCCATGAGGGAGAACAAATGGTACCTTCAGTCTCACATTGGAGCTGGGTTTCTTGGTTCGGGCTGGGGAAAGGTCAAGGGAATAGGACTGAGCCAGAACATTTGTATCCCGCTCTTTCCCCCCTTTCTTTCTTCTCGCCTTCACATTCACTGTCAGCTACCTTTTCACTGAACTCTGTCTCCACTAGATTTTCCCTTGGGAGCATCCTCTGTCTACCAGTGGTGTCTAGTGTAATGTTATGCTTTCTTGGAATGTTTCATGAGTACATAAACATTGCTTGCTAATTTCCTGTAAGCCAAATCAAGTTGGCAATTGCTGCTGCTTCTTCCAGTATGTTTCTTTTGTCCTAATTCCAGTTCATTTTTTTTATGAAAGCCGTTGAAGAAACTGACTTTTGATTCTGTCACTCTTAAACCAAATGTCCACTTAACAGCAAAGTAACAGTGAAAAGGCTGATTTTTTTTATTTTTCCAAATTGAAACCTTAGTTTAAAAAAATTGAAATTAATTTTCTACTTTTAAACTGAAATCAGGAATATTAAATTTAATTCCCAATGTGGGTATGATTGAATGAGTTGATAAAATTTTTTTTTTAAGTGGAATCAACAACTTTTAATGAGATCTAAAATCTGAAGTTATGATAAACACAGAATAAATGCAAAAGAAAAGGATTTATTGGATGTGTACAGATGTGCTCCTAACGCAGCACATGGAGCCCTGTGAGGAATAGGTATAACACCCCCAACAGCCTGTTTCCTTTAGACTTGTAAAGTGAAATTATGTTGGAAGACTCCAAAACGAAATCTGGCCAATCTCCTTGATTCTTTGGAGGGAGACAGGAGGGTGGTAGCAATATAAGTTTTCATGGGAAATGTTGAAAGCAGGTCGGTCCCAGTGGGGGCTTTGCAGACCTCTGACTATAAAGCTGCCCAGACTAAGTATCCTGCAAGGTTTGAATGTGGGGATTTATCTGCACAAGGGATTTGATTCAGATCACAAAACCATCAGAGGCTGTTTCAGCCAACTTTAAACCAGGTAGTTTTTTTCCAGAGATTAAAATCATTACTAGTCCCCTGCATGTCAGTGATAGCCACTTTTGCTGATAATGAGTGTTACGAGGATTAAATATCGCTGTATCTAAGGGATTATTAGGTGAAATTAAAATGATGCCTTTTTTTCAATCACCATAAAAGTTGGCTCCGCCAGTCCTGGCCTGCGGAAGGACTCTCAGAAACAATCTGCTAGGTGTATGCCAGTTTTCACAGCCTTTCATCCCACAGGGACAAGGAATTCAATAGTGCCCTACATTTTTTAATGCGTTGCAGCTTTTTTGGTTTTTTACAAGAAATAAGGGGAAAGAATAAAAATATTTAATTGCTCAGGATTAGCAGAACAGGCGGCCTGTGTCCTGACCAGGATAAAATCTTTTTAAAAGACTCTTTCCAGCAGAGTAATTTCCCAGTTTCCTTTTTTGACTGTATTTGTGTCAAAGGATTTTGATCAGCATTTGCTTTTCCAATTTGTTGTTAGTTCAAGGAATTGCGGTGTAAATTGGCATTCAAAGTTAAATGGTGAAAATGGACAGCTAATGTTACAAAAAAACAGTTAAATAGTTACTGGTTTGGGTCGCTTAATTGCTGCTTTTTTTTTTTTTTTAAATGCACTTAAGGAACCTATCTCCAGCAGACATGAAATCATATGATTTTTGTTGCACTTCTGAAATGTTTTGTAATAATGAGCATGTGACTTAGCCAATTTAAAGAAAGTTCATGTCCAGTACATGCATGCAGACCTTCTTCCTCAGTTAACAAAATGAAGCCAAAGCAAATTGGCAGAGCCTGGAGAAGCAATGTGACTTTTTGTTCTTGCATCACCCTGAGAACATAACCTCAAGTTAATTTTTCTGAAACGTTGTTGCTACTGTTTTCAGGCTTATCTACCCTTGTGCCAGAAAGAGGCAGATTAATGAAGTTCATCTTGTTGTACTCGTTTGAATTTTTTCTTCCGTGGAAAACAAGAGCACAAACATATGAGGCTGTGCGCTTTATATGCTTAAACCAAGAATTTAACAGTTTGGGTAACTGCAAAGCGCGACGGGATTTAAAACCGCAACCTGTTGATTTGGAATAGCCGCAGCAGCTGGAATTCTCTCTTGCTTGCAGCTGCATATAGAGCAGGAACAAAGGAAATTGAAAAGCTTTCACGTTGCTTCAAAAGAATAGAAAAGCGTTTGTTACTACTGACCCTAAGAGAGAAAAGCCATCTGCATGTAGCTAAGTTTTAGCACTTTTCCAGTGTGGTGCCCAGCTATTGTCCTGTTACCTGTCCTATATTTAAACCATCCTGAGTTTAGTCCCAAGTTCCTGTTTCATTAGCCTCTGTTTATCCATATGTTCAAGCTTAGTAGTCTCTCCTTTCTTTTCTTTTTTCCCTTGGTTAAACTGAAGTTGCATTTACCCACAAGATTGAAATGAGTCATTTGATGTCCTGAGAAAACAAATATAATTTTCCTGTGGTGAGAAAGCAACCCTGCTTTCATCTCGAGTTCTCTTGGCTTTCTTTATTCCATCTAAAGGAGAGAGAAAACTCGAGATCAAGCTTTGCTTAACCTTATTTTCCTTCCTCAGAGCTGCACTAAAACTTGAGCCTGTTTTCTAGTAAACACTTGCACAAAGTCTCATGACTGAACAAGTAAACTCCATGACGGCACCGGGGAGGAGTTTCCCAGATTATTTTGAAGTCTGCTCAGGAGCAAAGGCTGTCACATGCCGGCAAATGTGTCTGGCATCAGGCGGTGGGGTGAGATGGCAGCGCCGTGCTGAGTCAGGGGTGTTGTGGGGTAGCAGGGCCCCCGGCCCTGCCTGGAGCCCGGCCGGGGCTGGGCACCGCGCCACGCTGCAGGGCCCCAGAGATGCACAGATCCTGTCATTTTGACCTCGCAGACCACAACTTGGGAGCCGCTGACTTGCAAGCGTGATAGTCTGCGCTGGGAGAAGCCGAGTTGTGCTAGACAAGGAAAAAGGGGGGAAGCGGGGTTTCAAAGGAACAGTGCTGTGTTTGAGATGGGGAGAACTTCAACCTGGTGGATAAAAGCAAACTCCTCGAAGCAGCTGCTCTCATCAGTTTTAATAATTTGAAATGTCCACGGGACTGTGCATATCACATGTTTCCTATTTAAGAATAAACATGAAAATAAATCAGAATTTTTTTTTTTTTTTTTTCCCAGGGTGCTGGCACAGCCATTGGAGAGCTGCCTCCATATTTTATGGCGAGGGCGGCCCGACTCTCTGGTGCTGAACCTGATGATGAAGAGTACCAGGAATTTGAGGAGATGCTGGAACATGCAGAGACTGCACAAGTAAGAACAGTGCAAAACAACAGAATTAATAAAACACAGAACAACTAGATGCAGTAAATAACCATTCCAATGAAATGGGAGTGGGCAAAAAATCAGCTGGTGTGAGTTCACGAGGGACTTCCCAGGGATTGAAAAAGATCCCCCTGGGTAGATACACCTTTGGTGATGGGAGGACAAGAATGCAACTTGCTGAAGCATATACAGTAGTGCAGATAAAGCATTTGATATAAATACTGCATTTATTTAGACTTCCAAGAACAGCACAGTAAAAGTAGGGAGAAAGTGAGCTAACAAACAGGAGACAGAGGAGGTGCTGTTCCATAATTATGGTTGGTATATCTGCATTTAAAGCCTCTCTGGGCTGGGAGGTGATTTTCAGTCAGCTCATCCCCTTTGGATGACATTTGCCTTCATAGCCACTAACACCCTCAGGGGCCAGTGCGTGACCCATTCATCAGCCTGAGGAAACATATTTTTCCTGATGCGAAAATGCAACCAAACCGCTCTGAATCCCTTTTTGTTGCTCTTGTCATTTATGTTCTTGATGGATTAAATACTGCTTGTGTTACAGCATAGTTTGCAACCGATGCTGTGCATCAGTCAGATGTTATCGTAGATAATTTTTTGGGTGAGGAGTTTGCATCCTCTTAACAAGTTTATTGATACTGTTTTGAAGAGATTAAACATTTTTTTTCCCTCAAATTCTTTGCCACTGAATTTCTCTTCTGTATTTTGCCTTCTTACCCTGTTCTGTCAGCCACTAATTTGAAACAGGTCATGAGACTGCTATTAAAAAAACAGCAGATGCTATTTACCATGCACTGCTGTCTTTAAACTGCTCTGCCAGGGTATTTTCTTGATACAAATGTATCCATTAATTTTTTTTTTCCTTCTCTTCAAAAAATGAATGAAGCTTTTCCATGAAAGCAAGTGGTTTGTCTGGAAATACTGAGTGCAATCTAGTAATACTAACAGTAAACCCTGTGTTTCCCAAGAGCTCCCCCCACCTAGAAAGTTCCAAAGGGTGTTTCTGCTATTGTAAATAGTAAATTCTTCTATTTCTTTAAAGATGCAGGGGGGGAATCTGCTTTTTTCTTTACTCTTAACCATCAGTCTTTGCTTTGCAAAGTAACCCCTAAATGTATAAAAATCAAGCTGTGGTAAAAAAAATAAAAAACACCCCAAAACAAACAAAAAAACCCCAAACAAAAAACAAAAACCAAACACCCCAAAAAACACACACACACACACAAAAAAACCCCAGCCCGAAACCAGTTGAATACATGACTCGAGAGTTGAAATGCTATCTGTGTTTACTGAAACTCTCCCAGCAAATTATATGCGTGTACAGTTGTGGGAGCAGCCAGAGTTGGTTTCCAGAGCGCACAGTAAGGATTCTTGGGAAGAAAAGTTTTTGCTAGAGAGCATTTTGTCAGGACAGGCCAAAATATAGCTAGCTGTATTGACTGCCCTTAGTAAACGAACGGCGTTGTGTAATTAATTAAGAAAAATGATGGTGTTATTTACCAGTACTTTTGATTTTTATTTTCTTGGCAATTGAATTTGGATTGAAGCATGTTGTTTTGTGGATGGATAGCCAGGAAAAAAAAAAAAAATCTTTTTAAACTCCACTTGTGGTTTGGTTTCTATAAAACTCTTTTAACATGATGCTTTGACAATCCGATTAAATTGTATTGCGCTCATAAAACTGACAATTCAGTTTTTTCCATTTGCTAATATGACTTCCTTTTTGCTTTTGGCTTCAATCATGTTTTTGCTAGATGTCTGTGGGAGACGGGCCTGCCTTTTCCTATGACCTTGAGTAAATCCCAATCTTCAGCATAGCTTATCACTCTTTGTTCTGTAATTGCTATTCATGAGCAGTTTTGATGTCTATTTTTAAATTGCTCGGTAACAATTTTTATTACCTACATCAGCTTCTCCCACTCTTACGAGTCGAAGCCTTATGCTTAAGAAAACATGAGGGATGTGACAAGTGTCTTATGCCATGGAAACTACTACAAATGTTTGACGTCAAATGACAGGAGCCTTCTTTCAGTGTAAAGGTCTCACTTCATCCTGCCTTTTTGAAAGGCATGAAAAATGGGTGTGTTAGATTTTGAAGAATAGCTTCCCCCTCTACTTCTGCTGAGCTGCTAGATGCCTACAAGGCAAAACCAAATGGCTTGACGTTTTTGCCTGCGTGTGTTTTGTTTAGAAAGCTTGTCGCTGCTATTTCTCAAAAACAATGGTAATTTTGAGAAACAGATGAGGATCTTCTATGTGGGAATAGATCATGAATATAACATCCAGCCTGAAGGATCTGTGAGGGGGAATGCGCTTGCTAGCTTGGCACTTTTTTTTTTTTTTTTTAAAAAAAAAAAAAATAAAAGGATTAAACAGCTTGAAGGTTTAGTGCCCCAGAGTTACACAGATTAAAATACTATTTACTTTAAAGAGCCTATTGATGGATTTTCTATCATAAATCTCACATCTAAGTGACCTGTCTCCTTGAGCTGGGTTTTAAGAAAACTCCTTAGCCCGCAGATGTGTAAATCTGCCTTGTACTCCCATTAGCATACTTCAGAAAAAGCCCCTCGTTTTAAAGGAACGCTCACTTCTCCTTTCCGTGCATCTCTGCGTGTGCACACCAGGGAGTTAGTCCCAGTTCCACACTGGGAGCGTCAGAGCTTCTCTTGCCTTGTGGCTGCTCTTGTTAAAATCCAGCGATTTTGCCCTGGAGAAGGAGTGTGGTTTACAAACAGGGCTCTTTTTTTTTTCTTTTTTTTTTTTTTTTTTGTCTCACAGCTCCACACAATGCAGAGCCCAGCATGCTATAGGAACAGAGCAACTCGCTCTGAGTTGTTAATACTTAAGGCAGTATTTCAAAAATTATAAATGTTTGAAACGGTATCTCAGTCGCTGTTAACTCTCTTCCAGTCGAATTCCAGAGCAGAGGAGTTTTTTATCAGAGCTCCCTTTTTAGCCACGGGGAGTATCTCCAGCGCAGCCGTTCAAACCAACCTCTCAATTACGGGAAGTGAATCTACTCCTCAGTGCTGGGGCAGCACATTGGTAATAATACAGTGCAAGCATACTTTTATACAGTTCCATGTCTACACGCACATGTGCGGGGACTTTTTTTTTTTTTGCCAGTTTAATAGTTGCTGATTGTTAAGTATTCTCATCTTTTCTCTGTCATGCTGAAACACTTAAAGCTGACGGAGGTTTCTGGTGAAAATGAAGCTTTTAATGCCAACTTCCCTCAAGGTACTTACTGATAATGTTTAATGCGTGGGCCCTTGCTGCATCATGGTACTACTTGCCTAGAGGAGAAAGTATTACTATCTTTACTGTATATCTAATCCTTAATGACTGTAAGTGTTTGGACTCATTAAGTAGCATATTTTTAAGAACTAATGATTTACACATTGGGCTTTGCTTCTGTGTAGTGTTGCTACAGCCAAATTTCCATGTAAAAATATTTTCTAGTTGCCTATGTTACTATCAGCCACTGCTGTTTGTTTACTTTCCAAACTGTGTCCTGCCTCTGGAAGAATACAGACTTGAAAAAGGGTTAAACCCATAGTAATGCTGAGACCCAGCCCAACTCCTTCGTAAATGATTGAGTGCCATCTGCACACTGAGTGTCAGTTGTTGCTGGGACCTGTTTTTGACTCCACTGAACCTTTACTGGTTGTGGTTTGTCTGGCCATCACATGACTTCTCTGAAAATTCCCCCTCCCCTCCATTTCCAGTAAACTGTTTGAACAGGAGTGACTCAGACTGAAACCAGCTTCCCTGTAACCACAGGGCTTGTTAAAGAATTTGTCAACGTGGACTCAAGAGGGTTTGTATTAAACTAAGCTGCAACTGCTTTGGTTTGCGTTGCGTCAGGAGCTCCACCGAACAACTTCCTGCTCCCCGAGCCGTCGTCTTGCCTGCAAGGAGTTAAGCTGTTGAACTTGTTCGATAGTGACAGTTAGACGCATGTTAAACCCATCTTCCCAGCCTTTCCGAAAGGTCTGGTGCCTTGAGCTGGATTGCTTTTCCACGTCTTCATGTGGGGTTTCTCTTTGCAGAAGCAGAACAAAAGTACGCCACCACGCCCAGCCATGGTAACTTGGAGAACCAAGCACTGTGTTCTGACACGACACTGTGACTTAATTCACATGGAATGATTAGGTTCAACTAATAAGCAAAATGTTACTTAATTAGCGGTGTAAAAGAAGATGGTCGTATTAAAAATGGATCTCTCCCATGATTAACAGCTAGTATCTGATAAGTTTCTGCTTGAAAAAGAATTCCTGCTGGCTTGTTTAATCAAAAGGTTTTAAGGGTGTTCAGTACAAGAAAAAAGAAGTTAAAGCAGACCACAGGCAGGTTTTTGTAAAGCAGTTATCATAAAAATGGAAGTGGTCGAGTCACATACAGTAAATGGAAAACCTTGACTTCTTTTTTTTTTTTTTTTTTCTGTGTAAATGCAACATCAAATTCCGTTCATAATTTCTCTCACTGAGTCTTCCAGTCATCCCCTTCCCTCATCAGCTTCCTCTCGTTATTAATTGTGCTGTACAAGGAGATTGCTGGGGTTTGGTCTAGGCTGCCTGAGGGGTGGCCACCAGGAGGCTTGTCTTCACACACGGCGTTCCTGTAGTTTGATGCCTCCTTTTTGTAATAGACGTAGGGGAGTTATCTTACCTCTTTTATCTTGGCCCGTAATTAAATGGGAATTCAAAACTAATCAAACCTCGAAGCTTCTCTTCGGAAACTTCCTATGAATGCGATAGCTTGAGAGTGAGATGGCAAACTGAGCTAATAGTCAAGTGTGGTGGGTTTTTTTCCACAGACAACGTAATAAGCAGTAAATATATTTAAGTGGCAGCTTAGTTTTAAATTGTGTTGCAAAATTACAGAGTTGAAATAAGCTTTGGAACGAGTCAGCGAAAGCTTTAAACAAGGGAACTTGTTACAGAGGACTTCCTGAGAAAAGAGGTAAC